TATATATATATTTGGCCTCCTCTGTGCAGTTCCATTGATCCACATTTCTGTTTCTGTGCTGGTACTGTGCTGTTTTGATCACTGTGGCTTTGCAATATAACTTGAAATCTGGGGTTGTGATGCCTCCTGATGTCCTATTATTACCCAGAATTGCTTTTGCTAGCTTTGCAAACTTTGTGTAGCTTTGCAAAGGTTTTTCTCATCTCTTTTTTTCTGTTGGTACAGGGCAAGTGTTTCACTACTCAACTACATCTGTGGTTGGCTTATAGATAGCATCATTAAGTTTAACTGTTCATATAAAACTATAAAAACAAACTTTTTTTTTTAACAAATGTACACAAGGTTGGCTGAAATAAATTTCTTTTTTCGTGGGGAGGGGAACCAGGGATTGAACTCAGGCCCTTGCGCTAACCAGGCAAGCACTTATTCTACTGAGCTATCTCCCTGGCCCTAATAAATTTCTTTTGATGATGCAAGTCAATGTCTACAATATGAGATACTTATAGACCTAGGTTACATAATTAGCAGATTGGCATCTTTCCTGTGTTAATATGAACTATTTTTCTTTTTTCTTTGTTTTTCTAAAAATAAATTATTTATTTAGGTACTAGGGACCAAGCCAGGGGTGCTCTACCCCACTGGGCCCTTTTTGTTGCTAAGTTGTCCAGGCAGGACTTGAATCTGTGATCTTCCTCAGCACTGGGATTACAGGTATCTTCCAGTATGACAGGCCTATATGAACTTATAAAACTCATTACTACACTTGATTACAGCCCCAAGGCTGAGGCACAATTAAAGCTTGTTACTAGAGGGCCGGGGAGATAGTTCAGTAGAATAAGCGCTTGCCTGGCAAGCACAAGGTCCTAAATTCAATCCTGAGTACTGCAAAAACAGACAAAAAAAAAAATCTTGTTATTAGAAATCATTATTTTCCTAATTTTCAAAGATGAACATGTGAAGGTAATATTTTCAATTGACTGTCTTATTCTTTTTTTTTTTTTTTAACGCATTTGGCACAGGGTCTCACTATGCATCTCGGACTCCCAGCATTTCTCCTGTTTTCAGTCTCCTGTTTTCAGGGCTGGGATTACAGGCCTGGCTATAGCTGTTCTTAGTGGCCTTGACAGCGTGCCGGGGGTGGGCTGGTGCAGCACTGGTGCCAGGGGATCAAACACCTCAACCCTGGTTCCTGCCTTGCCTAAGCAAGCCTGCTTAGTCCACTGTGCTGCTGAGCTATCTCACCAGCCCTTGTGTTTTGTTTTTTGAGATAAGGTCTCACTCTGTAGTGCAGTCTGGCCTTGAACTTATTATACAGCCCAGGCTTTTTTCTTGGGTTTTAAAGTTCTGTTTTGTCTTATTTGTCCTATAATATAGGTTTGTGTGATCATTCTAAAGAAATAAAAGTTGGGGCTGGGGAGATGGCTCAGTGGAATAAGCGCTTCCCTGGCAAGTGCAAGGGTCTGGGTTTAATCCCCGGTAAAGTTAATTTCAGTAGCTTATTTTATTATCCATTACTCTATAATGTTACTTCATAAGTTTATCTTATAGTTTGGCAAGTTTATTCAGAATAAAACCATTATGAAAACAGATGTTTTGTGTAAATTTGATCCACTATAGAAACACATTACAGAGGCTGGGGAGAGAGCTCAGGGGCTTAAGCACCTGCCTGGCAAGTACAAAGTCAGGAGTTAGATTCCCTGCCCCCCCACGCCACATTACACTCTAGCACAATGGTGCTTGCCTATGAACCCAGCAATCAGCAAGTTGAAACAAGAGGATTGTTGTAAGTTTAAGGCCAGTCTGAGATATACAGTGAGTTCAAGGTCAGCCTGAACTACAATAGCAAGACCCTTTCTCAAAACCAATCAACCTACTTACCTACTTATATATTTGTAGTAGGCATGAAATGTTTTCTTCCATTTGTTTTTCTTTAGACAGGGTCTGGATATGTAGCTCAGGCTGACTTTGAACTCACTATGTGGCCCAGGCTGGCTTCAAACTCACGGCAATCTTTCTGCCTCAGCCTCTGAGTGCTGGGATATGCTTATTTCTAATATTCACTTTCTCAGTCATACCAATCTATTACTATTTGATTAGTTTAAAATTTATAAATGTTCAATCATTAAGTGCTTACAGTGCTTAGCGTTTTTGTGGCTTTACAGGATAGTTCATCTGTAATCTGGGAAAAGGTGTTATATTCATAATGCATGCAATGGACTGGAAATGAATGGAATATTCACTGTTACTAAAGTTTGTTGCTCTGAGAGCGTGAACTTTAAGTTGTGCTCTTATCCGTCAGGCCTTTTTGGGTGGAGTGCAACAATTTTGACCTGGCCAGAGCAAAGTGGACAAGAAGTAACGGTTTATAACACAGCAAAAAACCTCTGAGTGCAGTGTTTAATTAAACCTGGAGAATACTCGGGTGTGGTGACGCTCCTTTGTAATCCCAGAACTCTGGGAGGCTGACCCAGGAAGATCCCACATTCAAGCTCAACCTGTGTAACTGAGTGAGACTTTGTCTTAAAATATAAAATAAGAGCGGCCAAATGTGCAGCGTTTAAGAAATGGCTAACTCGTTCTCGAACTTCAGGCCCTACTTCAGCAATGTGACCGGGATATGCGAAGAATCAATGATTTCAAGAAATGATCGCCAGAAAGAAAGGGAAGGAAGACGGAGGCCGACGCTGCAGCCGCAGTCCGGGCGGGAGGCCGGGCGATGCCCAGCCTCGGGCCGCGCGCGTCACTTACCAGGCCAGGCCCAGACACGTCCCCAGAGACAGCAAGCTCAGCCCGGTGCGGGGGTCCGCCCAGACCCCGCGCGCGCCTACCGGGGCCGCAGGGCTCTTTCTGGCCTCGCTCGGCTTCCCGGGCTCCGGAGAGGCTGCCTTGGGCCCCGGCTTCTTCCGGTTCTTCACCTCAGCCATGTCTGGAAGCCGTGAACACGGCGATCCCGGGACGGCTGCTCCGGGGAGTCGCGGGACGTGGCCACTGGAGCCTCTCTGGGAGGCCTCGCCTCCTCACAGACTCGGCCCCGCCCCGAAACCAGCCCCTTTCCTCTCCCGGCCATTCTCGTCGTCTCTTCACCAAATCTCCTAGCCTCCGGGTTCCTCTAGGGCTGCTGGGCGGCGACCCCACCTCCTTCCTGCGGAGCTCGCGGGCGCCCGCAGGTTGCCCGGACGACGGGGCGCTGGGCGGGGCCACGCACGTCCCGTCAGAGCGCTGACCCAGCCGCTGGTAGGAACGCGCGTGCCCGCTGGCGTGACCACGCCCCCACCGCCCGGAGGAGGCCACACTTCAGGAGTGCGTGCGCGGGCACGAGGCGGGGCTGGGGCGCGCGCGGGCCGCCCTCCGGGGCTGGCGTGTGTATATTTCCAAGTGTGGGCGCGCGCTGTCTGGGCTGGGCGGGCCGCGCAGGGTTTGACTGCTCAGCGGTCCTGAGGCGAGGACGAGCAGATAGCCCGGAGACGCGAATGCTTCCTTCCCGGGCCGAGCCCTGAGGGAGCCTCCAGAGTGAGGCCCAGGGACGCGGCGACCGCGGAGGACCTGACTGGCCGCGGTGGCGCGGGAGGGCGCGGGGTTCCCTTCGGGGCGCAGTTCCCGCTGCCGAGGTGCGGCAGCCCGAAGGGCCGTCGAGTCTTTGTGTCCTGGGGGCGGGGTCCGGCCCCCGGGTGACATCCCGGGGTGCCTTGGGAGGCACCCGAGGGGCCGGGGCGCGGCAGCCCCACTCCCTGTCCGAGCTCCCGGTGCATCCCCGCCGGCCCTCGGCCTGCCCGCAACGCTTCCTGCGAGACCCCGGCGCCGGGACTGGGTGAGTGACCCCCGCCTTTGTCCCCCAGGTCTTCGAGCAGGCGGCCGGGGACGGGGGTTCAGAGCCGTGGGGTGCTTGATAACTGGGCTGCCGGTGTCCCAGGAAGAGAAATCATCTGAGAGGAAGTAGTGGACTGTTACAGTTGTCTTGCATGAACTTATTCTTTGTATTTTGCATTTGTAAAGAGTTTTGGCTTTCCTTTTTAAAGAGGAGGGCAGGCCTTGCATTTTGATGTGTTTACAGAGGGTGGGATGTTTTGAGAATCTGTCCATCACTTTTTCCGATATGTGCAAAGTTTTCAAACGTGTTTAAGACTTACATATTTGTTTTATCGGGCTAGTTAAATGGAAATTAGCTTCAGGTTGCCAGTGTCTATTTGCTTAGCTGCTGGGCATAACCTAAAGTTCATTTTTGTTTTGTCAAGTCTAATACTCGTACTATAAGTTGAGAAACGTCTTAACATTCTAAAAATATGATAATATAGATTCATACTAATTTTTTTTTCTGTAACTCCGTTTCACACCAATGCTGGCCATTGTGTGAACCTCGACGAGCATAGGGAAACTACTTCCCTATTTTTGAAAGTGCCACATTTGGTGACTTTTCAAAAATACTTTCATTTCCCAAGCTTGATTATTGCCCCCTTCTGAGCCTCTAAATTACTCGTGCTTTATTTTGCAGTTTTGGATGTTCATATTCTAATTATTGTTCTCTTTTTCATCTACTAGTTTGTGAATTCTTTCAGGAATTATATTTAAAACAAAGTTGGTAGAGACTTAAAAGTATTTTGCTGTAAAGAATATTGGTCTTTGAACATGGTGGTGCAGACCTGTAATCCTAGCACTCATGAGGCTGAGTTAAGAGGACCCACAGCTCAAAGGCAGCCCGTGCAATTTAGCAAGTTGAAGGTCAGCCTGGACTATGTAGAAACCTTGCCCTTAAGAAGAAGGAAACAACAACAGCAAACACACCAGGTTATCTCTTAATCCAACAAGGTAGTCAGAGGGTATTTCCAATTGCTCTATGAGAAGTTGACTAACGCAATTCAAGAGTTGACACCCACTTTGAATGAGAACTACTAATTCCAGCAATGTTTTGACTAGTCAATATGTTGGATAAAGAGAACAAGATGTTTCTAAACATTTGGACTTAAGTATGGTCATTAATTTATGAAATCTTAATTTAAAAAAGGAATGTTTTTATTGCTTTTTTAAATTAATTAATTATTTATTTGGTACAGGGCCTCCCTATGCAGCTTGGACTCATAGTGATCCTCCTGTCTCAGCCTCCCTAGCGCTGGGATTACAGGGATTACAGGCGTGCTCCACCATTCTGCGGTACCAGGGATCTAACCTGGGTCCTTGCTCTTGCCAGGCTGGTGCACAGACCATCGAGCTATCTCCCCAGCCCCAGGAATGTTTTTATTGTAAAATGATGTGTACTGAAAAAATTAAGACACTATACAAAAGTTTATGAATGAGAAAGGAATAAGGAAAAATCCCAAATCTTGTTATTTAATAACCCAAACATCTTAATGAAAGACTTCAAAACAGCATATATTTGTATGATATCAACACATTTTTTGGTTATGTGGGGTCATGTTTCTTTCAATCAGCATTGTGCTTTGAACGTCATTCCATGTATGTCTTTTACTTTAAATGCCTAAATAATATTCTATTCTGTATATGCACCCAGGTGTTTAAAAATTCCATGTCCAGAATCATAGACATTTAGGTTGTTTTCATATTTTCTCATCTTTACACTCTCCATTAATTCTTTCTGGGGTGTTTTTTTGCATACATAACTATCCTTGTAGATATTTTAGAAGTGAAATTTCTGGGCTGTAGAGAATAGTTCCTTTATTTTATTTTATTTATTTATTTAATTTTTTTCCCATAATTTTATTGAGAAACAAATAGCAATGAGACAGTTTCAAACCAAATTGGTAGGACAGTTTCAATAATTAACACATTGCATACATTCTTCCTAGTGGTTAATTGCTGTACAAGATGCGGACATGATATTCTATTTATTTAATTTTTGAGACAAGGTCTCACTATGTAGTTTGGTTGTAGAATTTTTAAGAGATGAGACCAACCACTGGGAAACAGGAGGATTTTACTAGGTTTTCCTGACTCAGTTGGACTTCTGTCTAAAAGAGTAAGAACAAAGGAAAAGTTGTAGGTTTTGTACATGTGGCTCTGTGTGTTTGTGGCTGTTTAGTGGAGTGAAAACAGGCAAAGGCAGTTGTTCCCACAGTGACAGTTTGATAACTTTGAATCCTTTGAACCTTGTAGGGCCTGGAGGATGCCATAAACCTGGGCCTCAGGCAGTTATAGGACTCTTTCTTTGTTACCATAATATTCATTCTTATCAGGAACAGTGCAGACGTCAGCCTTGAAGGAAAACATCCTGGTGGGAACCAGGATGATGCCCAGAGGCACATCCTTTTAGGGAGGGGAATTGGGGAGAATTTGCTCAAGATTGATGTCCTTCAGAGTTCTGCTCTAGTTCAGGTTGACCTTGAATTCAGTGTGTAGCCCAGGATCACTTCAAGGTGATCCTCCTGTTAAGCCTTGAAAGTGCTGGGATTAGAGGTGCATACCACTATCCCTGACTGAGCTTTGTCCATTTTCCTTTTTTTAAAAAATGTATTTGGTATATTGTCTTACTACACAGCTCGCTGCTTGGAGCAGTTTGCACTCTAGTGATCTCCCTGTTTTCAGAACTCCTCATCACTGGTGCGCCACCACACCTGTTTTCAGTGGCAGGCTCAGCATGCCCCAGAGGTGGGGCTGGCTCAGCATGTGTTGGCAGGGATTGGGCCTCAGTCCCTGCGCTTGCCTAAGCAGGCACTTAGTCTGCTATCTTGCTGGCCCAACCTTTATCCATTTTAAAAAGACTTAGGAAAAGAAATATCAAATTTTCTTTATGATTTTTAACTACCAGTGAGGCTCCACATTCTATTTATCTATCTTGGGGTACTGAGGACTGAATCCAGGACATTTTCACTGCTGTATCTCACGCTCATTTTTTATTTTGAAACAGTGCTCACTAAGTTACTAAATTGCCCAGTTCTCAAACCGTTATCCCCCACCTCAGTCTCCCAGAGTTTGGGGTTTATAGGCGTGTGCCACCCTGCCTGGCTTACACATCTTTTTATGTTTATTGTCCTGACAGCTATTTTGATGTTTGCCTGTAGCTCATGGTTGACAGCACAGAGAGAAGAAACTTTGAGAGAAGATGGATGCAAAAGCTCGAAATTGTTTGCTTCAACATAGAGAAGCTCTGGAAAAGGACATCAAAACATCCTACATCATGGATCACATGATTAGTGATGGAGTTTTAACAATATCAGAGGAGGAACGAGTGAAAAATCAGGTAACACCCTTTCACACAGTCTGTACTTTTTTCTTAAAATTTCAGAAGTGACATAGATCTTCATTAATTTGCGTTGCAAATATATTTATTGATATAAACTAAATTATTAAATTTTATTTTAGCCCAGTAATCATCAACGAGCAGCTACACTAATTAAAATGATACTGAATAAAGATAATTATTCCTACATATCGTTCTACAATGCTCTACTACATGAAGGATATAAAGATCTTGCTGCCCTTCTCCATAGTGGCATGCCTATGCTTTTGTCCTCCAGTGGCAAAGATTCAGCCGATGGGATAACTTCATATGGTTTGTATCCTGATACCTTCTGTCCCCTTGCTCTGACACATCTGATTGTAGAAGGGATATTCTGAAGAGATTATGACAAGTTCACTGAAAAATGCATGTGGAACAGTTATAGTAGTGTTTTCAGTAAATATTTCTTACATGCATCTACATTAACACATTTTATTCTTGCCCAGAGAACCATTTACTGCTGTGAAAACAACATGTACCTTTTTTTTTTTTGTATTTGGTACAGGGGCTCACTACGCAGCTCGGACTCTAGTGATCCTCTTGTTTTCAGCCTTCCCAGTGCTGGGATTACAGGCATGAGCCACCATGCCTGGTCTTGGTGGCCAGTTCAGCATGTGGGAGGTGGGGCTGGCACGGCATGCAGTACTGGGGATCGAAATCAAATCCTGTCCCTGTGCTTGCCTAAGCAGTTGCTTAATGCACTGAGCTATCTTGCTGGCCCTTATATCTTAATTTATAGAAAGAACATAACTGTCTATAGTTCCTGTTTACCTTGTAGTTAGGTATATTTTAGTTTATAGGGAAGAATAAAAATATCTAGAAGTCTATGTATTTGAAAGAAATTCCATAAACATTCAAAGGGAACTTCACCGTTGTTGAAAAAAGAAGTCCAGTGCTGGGAAGTGAACCCTGGGTTCAGACACAGTCCACAGTGTTCTTTCTGTACCTGCACTGTGCTCTATCCCTTCCCCAGTCTTCAGCAGGGATGGGGTGGCTGAGAGTCAGGAAGGAATAAGGTGTGAGGCAGGCACAGATGGAGACTTCCATGGCCTTGAAGGGTATATGTTTGCTTTCGTCTTCTGTATCTTAAGAAATCAGAACGTTTTTAGTTAATGTGCTAGACACATTTTCTTATTGCTCTTGGAAATAGGTAGGCTTCAACACCACCATCTGCAATTTTTTTTTGTTTTTGTTTGTTTTTCTTTTTGTGTTGAGTAGCCATTTCAGGGTTTTGTTCATTGAGGCTTGTTTTGGATTTCAGTAAGGACAGTGCTGTGCGAAGGTGGAGTGCCACAAAGGCCAGTTGTTTTTGTTACGAGGAAGAAGCTGGTGAGCACAATTCAGCAGAAGCTCTTGAAACTGAACGGTGAACCAGGCTGGGTCAGCATCTATGGCATGGCTGGCTGCGGGAAGTCAGTGTTGGCCGCGGAAGCTGTTCGAGATCATTCACTCTTAGAAGGTAAGGGGTGGGTTTTTTCAAAATTTAAATTTATTTTTATTTTTATTTACTTATTTTTCTGGCTGTTTCCCTGCCCCTGATTTATTTACTTATTTTTAAAGTCTTTATGAAGTTAATTACAAACACATTAACATCCAGAGTAACAGGCTCCAAAACACCAAACATAAAACAACTGTACTAAGTCAAGGTATACTTTTAGATACATTGGCTGTGCCGGGTTACAAGAACTTTTTTCTCTTCTATTATCTTTTTTTTTTCTTTTTCTTTTAACAGTTTATATATTGGGTTTCTCATGAGAGAAACCATGAGATATTTAGGCTTGTGTGTCTGATTTCACTTAACATGGTTGCAGGGTGCATTCACTTTCCTACAAATAACTCAACTTTGTCCTACTTTGTGGCAAAGTAGGTTGTCTCCTCCTTTTGTTGTTTTCTTTTGTTATGCAGAAGCTTTATAGGGCTAGCTTTTAAATTCTTTTTTAAATCTTTTTTTTTTTTTTTTTTGGCAGAACCAGGGATTGAACTCAGCCCTTGAGCTTGCCAAGGAAGCGCTTATTCCACTGAGCTATCTCCCTAGCTCTTTCTTTTTTAAATTTTGCTTCTCACTTGGTGTCATTATTTCTTGTGTCATTGTGATTCTGTTCAGAAAAATCTTTGCCTGTGTCTTCAAGAGTTTTACCTATGTTATCTTTCAGCAGATTGTTTATGTTTTAATACTCAAATCTTTGATCCATTTTGATCATAGTTTAGTGCATGGCAAGACTGTATGTGTCTGGGTTCAGTCCTTGGCTGTGGAGAGCCGGTTTTCCAGAACCATTTGTTAAAGATGCTATCTTTCTTCCAGTGAAAATGTTTGGCCCCTTTGTCAAAGATAATGTAGCTGCGTGTACCTGAGTTGTTTCTATATCCTCTAGTCTGTTCATTGATCTGCAATCTGTGTCCTCCAGTACTGTACTGTTTTTATCACAGGAGCTTTGTAGTATAACTAGAAGTTTGAGATTGTGATGCTCCCTGCCTTGCCTTTACTGTCCAGAATTGCTTTTGCTATTTTAGTTCTCTCCTGGTTCTGTATGAATTTTAGGATTGCTTTCTCTGGTTTTGTGATAAATGCTATTGGAATTGTGTTAAATATATATTGTAGTTGTTGAAATGGGGACATCTTTCCATTTTTTGATGTCCCGTTTAATCTGCTTTGCCCCCCTTTCCTCTCCGTGTGTGTGTGTGTGTGTGTGTGTGTGTGTGTCTATGTCTCTAGGTCTCATATGTAGTTTAAGCTGCCTCTGAAGTCACTATTCCGACCCTGAACTTATTTATTTATTTATTTTGTGGAACCGGGGATTGAACTCAGGTCCTTGCACTTGCTAGGGAAGCACTTATTCCACTGAGACATCTCCCTGGCCCCCAACCCCGAACTTATGGAGATCCTTCTTCCTCAGCCTCCCAAGTGTATAGCTCAATTACTTTTTTTTTTTTTTTAACCTAATGTATTTGATACAGGGTCACAACTTAGACTAGTAGTGATCCTCCTCCTGTTTTCAGCCTTCCCAGGGCTGGGATTACAAGTGTGTGCCACCATGCCTGGTCTTGGTGGGGCCAGCACCACATGTGGTACTGGGGATCAAACTCAAGTCCTTTTGCTTGCTTAGGGAGACACTGAGACGCTAGCTTAAATCCTTTTTTTCAGAGCACTAGTTTTTATTGTAGAGAACTTTTACTTCCCTGTTTAATTCCTAAGTATTTTACTTCCTCTTTTTTTTTTCTAAACAATTATAATTTATTTAAAGATACTTTAATCCCTAAGGAAATTTCCTTAAACATTCTCAATTTGACCTTACTGTCCAATAGTTTTCTTTTTTTGTTTTGGCTGACCTGGGGATTGAACTCAGGCCCTTGTGCTTGCCAGGTAAGCGCTTATTCTACTGAGCCATCTCTCCAGCCCCATATTTTACTTTTCTTGATGCTATTGTGAAAGGTGCTTTTTCTCTGACTTTCTTGATGAGATTAGTCTTGGTATATAGGGATGCTATTGATTTTTGACTGTTGACTTTGTATCTTGGTACACTACTGAATTGGGTTATTCTGGGAGTCTTGGTGGAGCTTTGGGGTCTTCCATGTAGAGGATCGTGTCACTTACAAATAATGATAATCGTTGAACTTTTTCCTTTCCTATCCGTATCCCTCTTCTTTCTCTCACCTTACTGCTCTAGCTAATGTTTCTAGAGCCATATTGAACAGGAACAGTGATAGTGGACATAGAGCGTAAGTGTTGACCACTGAGCATTGCTGGCTGAGGAGATAGTTCTTTGGGCGTTGTGTGTTTCCTGTTGCTGCTGGTAATAAATTACCACAAATTTAGTGGCTTAAATTAACATTTATTATCTTTTAGGAGGTTTTTACTTGGCTAAAATCATAGTGTCAGCTGCACTGAATTTCTTCAGGAAGCTCTCGGGAGAATCCTCTCCCTTGAATTTTCTCTTTCTGAGATTTGTATTCCTTGATTCCTGGTCCCTTCTCAAACCTGACTTTGTATGGCACCCCCTCCCCTTCTCTCTGGTCTTTGCTTCTGTCTTCCGTTTCCTTTTCTGGCTTCTGACCTTTCTACCTCTTTCTTAGAGGGGCCCTTGTGATTACTTTGGGCTCACTTTACGATCCAAGATAATGTCGGAATCTTTAATTTGGTCAAACCTACAAAGTCTCTTTTGCCAAAAAGGTAATCTAAGTGTCTTTTGGGTCTGTTATTATTCTGCTTATGATGGGCATGATTAAATTTGGAATATTCTACTTTGCCTGTCAGAATGGTTAGCTAGGACAATTAAGTTCACAAAGGTATCAGAGGATCCTTAATATTACTAGAGAAAAGCTTCTGTCTGAACAATGGAAAAAATTGAGGAAGATTTTGAAGGTTGTCTAGTTTTACACTACTGCCTCCAGGCAGGCCTCGACTTACACCTTCCTATTAGTGTCTGTTTTGGCATAGAGTGCACAAGGGAGCGAGTTTCTTAGAAATTCGATTCTATTAGTACTCTCCTATTGGGCTATGCTGCTCTGCATTTAGCATCCTATATTAATTTCAACTATTACAAGTAGTTTGACTTCTAGAAACAATTCTATTAGTTGTTTATCTCTGAAAGTAAATTTGCCATGTGTGTGTATTGCGACTGATGAGCTTTTGCATGGAGGCTTTCTAGATTCCTTAGACATCTGGTGACTGACTTTTCAAGCTTCAGGTGTTTGTACATTTAGTAGATGTTAGAAAAAAACCAAAAACAAAAATGGTGCTGGGGAGATGGCTCAGTGGAATAAGCGCTTTGCTGGCAAGCGCAAGGACCTGAGTTCAATCCCCAGTTCCGCCAAAAAAAAAAAAAAAAAAAAAAAAAAGATGTTAGAGTCTGTTCTGAGGTGGACAATTGGACAATTTTGGACGTGGGGTGTCCTAAAAGAAGGAAACTTTTACCAGAGGGTAAATGCATGTAATCAGATTATGTGTACTGTATGGGTAATAAGCAGTGAGGGTTTTTTTTTTTTAATGTATTTGGTACAGGGTCTATAGGATCTCACTACACAGATCGGACTCCTAGTGATCTCTTGTTTTCAGCCTCCCGAGCGTTGGGATTACAGGCATGCACCACTACACCTAGTCCCTGAGATGCTGAGATGCGTGCCCTGGAGGAGAGCCTGGCACAGCACGCGGGGGATCAAATCCTGGCCCTTGCATCTGCCTAAGCAGGTGCTTTAGTCCACTGAGCTATCTGGCTAGGCCTTGTATGTGTGATAAATGGATCAGCAGAAGAAAGTATGAGTACAGAGGAGAAAGAACATGAACTTTGGAGAAAGAGGTGGTGGGCAGTTTTCCTGAATGAGATGACATGTTAGTTGGGGTTTGGAGAAAGAATCAAAGTGTGCTCCGTAGGCATGGGGAAGTAGGAATGGTATGAAGAATAGTAGTGGCTGCGGGTGAGAAGGGTGTCCTTTTAGGCACATTTGGCGGGTGCGCCACTGACCTTGGTGAGCCTAGTTACTTCCAGGGTATTTGTCAGGAATAGGTGTCACCTTCTTAGTGCTTTGCTGCCTCATCCATCAGTGAGTCTTCTCTAATGCTTCTGTAATGCTTTCTGTGGAATTCAAAGATTTTACTACTTCTGGAAGTAATTTTTTTTTTTTTTCACACAAGTTATGATCAGTTAAGACAGTTTAGATAACAAATAGAGTGGATTAGTTGGAAGCCTCAAGATTTGATAAGATGAAAGTTGGGGGACAACTTTTATACACATAGAACTTTAGTTTATTACTTCATAGTCTTTATCAGCAGTCATTACACTCTTGTCAGCAGGGTGCCCTATTCCTAATTCTTGGTTTGTTATGGGGGCTATCCCGATTGCTGTCTTTGAGCTTTGCTTGTGTCATCCAGTGTAGCCTTGCTATTTCTGGGTAGCTCTTTTAATCTCCGTGAAGTCTGCCCTTACAGGTACAGTAGTTTGGGAGAAGCTGCACTGTGGGGCTTGGTGGTGTAGTTTAGTGGTGGAGCACTTGCCCAGCTAGTATGTGTAAGGCCTTGGGTTTGATTCCTAGCTCCTCAAATGAAAAAGGATTCTTTCCCAAAGATTTTGATCTGTGAAGTTCACTTCCATTCTGAAGTATAGGATCATTGGGTTTTGGCATTAATTTATGGTACAAACCCTTTTATAAATGCAAATAATGTGTTACAAACTTGATTAAAACCCTGATTCCTATAGAAATTATAGATTATTTTAGGATGGTGGTTGATATAAATTAAGTACTAGGTTTTTAATTATTTATGCCTGTACATTTAAAATGACATGACTTTCATTTGAAAGTTTCACCCTTTTTGTAGATAATTTGTTGACATATTTTTAAACTATATTACTGTATTTATTTGCTGAGGTTTTTTTTTTTTTTTTTTTTGGTTGGACTGAGCTATCTCCCCAGCCCTGATTGCTGGGGTTTTGAAATATATATCATATATATATATATATATATATA